GAACTTACAAAGTACACATATCAAAGCACAAGCCAAAAACTCTCTCTGTGGTAGAAAATATGATAATTCCTCTCAGGTACTTCACCTGGAGCGCAGCTTCATTTATTCATTTATTTTCTTAGAAATATTTCAGGCTTATTGTATGTAGACATTGTATTGATGGCATAAGACCTCAGGTTCCTGCCAGCTGGTAGCCAGTGGGGGTACAGTTTTGTAGACAGATAATTGCAATCAAGCATGATAAATATGGTGTTGGTGCTGGCTCCGTTTCCACTTCACACTCACATGGTTTCCGTGCTGCTTTCCCTTGCACAGTTGCTAGGCCTTTGTATATTTCCTGAGATGTGCTATCAGGAGTCAGTTACTGCCTCGGTTCATCCTGGACATTTTTCTGCTGGTTTAACTCTTGTTAAAGGAACCTCTGTGAGAAGACTTAGCTGGGCAGTTAGACACCTAGATTCTGAACAACACTTTGGAAACTAGCTAGGCATGATGCACTGAAAGAGTTCCTTGTCCTCTAGGTGTTCTCTTTTGACCTCTGCAAGTCTCTGTTCATCCAAGTACTCACCCAATAGGGCCATGCTTGCTTTAAGGGACAACTGGGGGTGTGAACATTTTATTATGGTTGAACACTACTTGTCAGTCATATAGGTAGACCATGTTTTCTTTCTCTGCCTCACTGATAGGCATGTAGGTTGTTTCCATCTCTTGGCTATTGTGACTAACACAACTATGAACCTTAATGTTCACATTTTTGTATGAACACTAATTTGGGGTACACACTAAGGGTGGGGTTACTGAATCAGACTTTGTGTTATTCACTATAGTAAGATAACCATTAAATAACTTGGCTAACTTCACAATGTTGAAGTTCTCTATATGTAATTTGATGTTATGGGGTAGTATAATGCTGAAAATTAGTGGTTACATTGTGCTAAGATCTCAAATTTCTATCCTGGAAATCTTTTCTAGGAGAACAAATGCCTTGCCATGAAGCAACTTTGGGACTGCTGAAAACTAAACCATCAAGAACAGCTCCCATAAAACATGCTTTGTAAAGAAAATATTGTACCTAGAAAGTACTGGTGGGAACATGGTATAGCTTTTGAAGTCCAAAGAATCCTTCTGGTCTGCTAGGATTGCCACTGGGTGTATCTGAATAGCAGGATGTAGAATCCTTCTCATTAGTGATTCTGAACTGGCTGGTCATCTTCATTTTGCTGTTCTGTCCCCTAACAAGCCAATAAATAGATAAGGGAAATGGATGGAAATTGAGATTTGGATTGCCCCCTAATTGTTTTTACTTAGTTCAAATGGCTACAGTTACCACACACATATTTTTCTCCACTAAGTAATCACCAGATGACAGAGAGCAGTCATGTTTTCAAAGATGTTTCCTCCATTTTACTTCCTATAAGGAAACCTTCATATTGCCTTTTATGCCCACAATTGCATTTCGATATTAGCTCTAAGCTTAAATCAAACTCTCTTCATGACATCTGATTTTACCTCCTTAGTGGAGACTGAATCTTATCGCCACTGAAATCATGCTGTTGATGAAATCGTATTCCTGTGTGCTGAGAGAAATGCCATGCAAGGAAGAGACATTTTAATAGTGGCATGCTGAATAATCAATTTCATTTTAAGGTGCAGATCAATATTATCTTTGAGATGTCTAAATAGCCATTAAATATGAACACAGCAGGTCTAGCAAGCAGAAGGAAGAGGAGGAGGAGGAGGAAGACAAGCAGAATTAGGAAGAGCAGGAAGAATAGGAAGAGGAGGAGGATGAGGAAGAGGAGGAGGAGGAGGAGGAGGAGGAAGAGGAAGAGGAAGAGGAGGAGGAAGAAAATTGTTGTTAACCACAAGATGAGGTTCCCAGTGCTTTTGAATGGGGATACTGACCTGTCTGGAGAATTAACTATTTTTTTTCTCATTGATAAGTCCAAATTTGTTGTTTCATGTTCTTTTGTTTTGTTTTAGGCTCTCTTGTTTGAAATATTTTATTATTTGAAGAAAGAATCCTTAGTATTACTTGTAACACATCTCCTAGCACTTTTGGTTCTTAACTGTTTTTTTCCATTTTTAAAAATGTAACTTGTATTTTAGAATGTTTTAGATTTATAGAAAAACTACCAATTTAATACATAGAATCTCATATACTTCCTATACCAAATACTTTATCATTAACATGCCACTTTTGACAAATAAATAAAAATATTGATATATTATTAACTAAATCATAGTTTATTCAGGTAATTTTTATAATTTGCCTTTATTTATTGGATACAGGGTCTCACTACTCAGTTCATGCCTGTTTTCTGGGCCAGCACAGTGCACTTAGGGCTCCAGGTCTGTCACAGCATGAGGTACTGGGGATCAAACTCGAGTCCTTGCTCTTGCCTGGCAGGCACCTAGACCACTGAGCTATCTCCCCAGACTTTAATTTTAATCTACTGGCCCTTTTTTATTCCAAGACATATTGCATATCTCATCTAGTCATCGTATGTCCTTAGATGTCTGTGGGCTAGGAATGTGTCTCAGACTTCCCTTGATTTTTTTTAAAATGATTTTGACAGTTTTGAGGCATTGTGGTCAGCTATTTTATAGGATACCTCTTACCTAGGATTCATCTTGTGTTTCATCACTATTAGACTGCAGCGATAGATTCTAGATGAGGAGACCACAGAGGTCAAGTGTCCTTCTTATGACGTCATTAAGAGGCTCATCAACATGACTGGTCACTACTCATATTAACCCTGAGCATCTGGCAGAGGTAAGGTTTTGCCGATTTCCCCTTTTTTACATACTGTACCATTGGAGGGAGGTCACTATACTCGCTCACACTTAGAGCATGGATAGTTCTGTTATGGTTCAGGTGTGGAATGTTCCATATTGGCTGATGTGTGGTATGTATAGTCCTAGTATAGCAGTGTTTAAAACGTTTTTTAGCAAGTAATTGCATCACAGGGTTCTGGTCTCCTCCATGGGTTGATCTGTTGATTAGTTCATAATGGAATGGCTATAGGAGGTGGTAAAACCTTTAGGAGGTAAAGGCTAGTTAGAGGAAGTAGGTGAATGAAGGTGTGCCATGGAAGAGTACATCTTGTGCCTCGCCTGTTCCTCTTTGTCTTTTTGCTTCCTTGTACCCATGAGATAGGCAGCTTCCTCCTCCCTCAAGTGCTCCTTTTTCCATGATGCTGTCATGTTCTGCTTTGCCTTAGGCACAAAGCAATGGTGCCAATTAACCATGGACTTATACCTCTTAAACTGTCAGCCATAAATCTTTACCATTGTTTTCTTTCTGTATTAGGGGATGAACCAGGGCTTCTGTCTTGAGCTACATATACAACCCTTTCTTATATGTTAAGACCCTGTAGGCTGGTGATTCCCATGCCCCTGCTTCACAGGATTGCCCACAACACTTTGTCACACATTTTCTTCTTTAAGTCATTTTTCTCAAGTATTTGGTCACATTGACAAAGTTCCTTCTTGGGAGTAAAGTATCCAGATAAGTTAGTTGGATTTTTTTTTTTTTGTACAGGAGATTTGTCACTTTTTCCTTATTTAATTATTTAATCATTCATTTATAATAGTTTGGACATATGGATATTTATTTTATTCTTTGAACTATAGTCTAACATCACATACTTTGTTTATATTATTGTTTAAATTAAATTAGAAATGGAACTGTTTAATTTAAATGGAACTGTTCAATTGTTCTATCTACAGTAGTTGTGATCTCTTGCAATTGGCTTCTTTGTCCATTTGCCAGATCTGTGTGTGTGTGTGTGTGTGTGTGTGTGTGTGTGTAAAATATATGTATATTACTTGCTGATACTACAATAGATTCCAGACTTACCGTAAACATTTCCTGCCCCAGTTGTAGAAGCTAGAATTAGCTATTTCTCCAAGATGTTCTGGCTTCTTTTGGGAACAGATGTTATTAGAAACCAGAACCTGAGTATTAGGGATACTCAGCTATGTGGGAAGCTCCACTTTTAGGCGTGCTTAGATACAGAGGAAGGAAATGTGTCCCTGCATAGTAGTCCTTGGTATGCACACAGCTATGAGGGTTTCTGGATACATCCATGTGTATCTATGTGAAGCCAAACATGAGCTAATAGGGATACCTCAACCCTATCCCATCACTACACGGTTTCTTCCAGTCAGCTCCCATTGCTTATCTGTGGCCTCCTTTCTCACTTGAGAAATCTGGCTTCTACTACGTAGCATTCTAAAATTTTTCAATTCTAAAATATATTGTAAGGGCTTCACAACTGTGACCTGTACTTCACAGAGACAACGTCACCAACTGTAGTACAGTGCCGATGTGTAAATGCCCTTTGCTTTTAGTTGTATAGACTCCACGTATCTCCAGACAGTAAGGCAAGCCTACCATTTTCTCTGCTTCTGTCAGTCTTGGTGTTGCATTTGTCATACAGTCAGATTCTCCTGTCAAAGTCTACATTCCTTCTTGGGACTCTCTGTCCTCCTAACTAGCTTAAGTTTACATCTGTTAAGGTTCACTCTTATGGTATAAAACTCAATGGGTGTTTTGCTTACTTTTTTCTCATTGCTGGAACAAAATACCCAACACCCCAACTTAAGAAAGGAAAAGTTTGTAGAGGTTTCAGCCCCTAATCTTCTGGATCCAAGGCAGGGGGCACAGTGAGGGGCAATAGTTCAAGGTCACAGGAGCAGACACAAGAAGAGGGGAAGGGGAAAGCAAGCCTCTATTCCTCCCTTACATTGGGTACACCACGTCCTTGTCCTCCTCTGCCACAAGCTCAGGAGCTTGTTTACTAAATGAGTACCCTGACCCCCTACTGAGTCACTTACATGAGCTTTTAAACTTCTCAATTCTCGAGTTGACACAATGTATCAGCTATTACTAGGTGTTCTGATAAGTGCACGGTGCCATCTATCCATTATGACTGTGTGAGGTCGTCTCTTCAGTCTAGAAGAATCCAGGGCGTTTCACTGTTCAGTTTCCCTCCCACAGCCCCAGAAAGTACTGACTGGTCTAATATCTTCCATAGGATCAACTGTCCCAGAACATGAAGTAAGTGGAATTATACAGCATGGTGTGGCCCTTTCAAATTTGCTTGTTTTATGTGTCCACGTGTAATTAATATTCTCTCCTGACTGCACTGGCTGTTAGCTTCTTCCTTCAGATCACTGAATACTGTTTTTCCACTTACTTATTGAAGTATATTTCAGTTACTTATAGTTTTGACTTTTATGAATAAAGCTGTGATAAATATTTGATGGGAGGGTTCTGTGTGGAGCTGTTTTGAAATAAATGGGACAAATACCCGGGTGGAAATTTTTGATTGGATGACAACACCATGCTTAGTGCTTTTAGAAACTGCTGAACTGTCTTCCAAATGGCTATGCCATTTACATTCCCATTGGCTGCAGCTAGAACTCATTATTTTAGCCATTTTAATAGATGCATAGTGAGTAATTTAGTTAAATTCTGCTTAGCAGTCATCCACGTTGAATGTAGACACACCTTGCATCAGACACATGTGGACATATGGCCAGAGAGTATTGTCAGATGCTTTCCTTTACATAATACTTTTTCCATGTTAGAAGTTTGCAGTTTTCATATATGTCTTGTAAGGACATATATAAAGTACAGAACATAATATTGGCTGTTTATTTTTTGATTGGAATTCACCGAGGTTTTGCTAGAAGTAAAGCTGGACTCCCCCATGATGCCTTAGGAATGAGAGTAAATACTTTAACTGTTTTCATGTCCTCATCTTTAAGACAGGGACAGAATGGAATCCAGCTCATCAAGTTGTATGAATTTAGTGAGCTACGGCATGGAAAGAATTTAGCACAAAGCATGGAGCCTGGTAACCATGTAAGTCATTATTGGTATTACTATATTACTAAGACTAATCCTAATACTATATAAAGCTCTCATTTTTGCTTGAATATACCTTTTAGTCTTTACTTTGGAGCCATGCTGATCTTTTTCATCCAACCATGCCTCATAAAAATAGAATAAACACACTTCACATTCATTACATTTCTTGCAGCATGATTTTTTTCTACTCCAAAGAGCATGGCGAAATGGATGTTTGCAAAGGTAACCTGAGTGCTACAACTCACTGACTCCCTGTTATTTCTTGTATTGCTAATAACCCCATACATTTTCTCAGTGCTTTGCATTTACACAGGGCTAGAGCTTCACAGATATTATCTCACTTGCTTCTTAGAAGAGCTTTTCTCCTTAGGCTGGGAATGCTTAATAGACCCTGCTTTTGTTGAGGATGTAACTTGTCTCAAATTACATAACAGGTAAGAGCAGACCAAGGGCTTAAATTCAGGTTTGTGAGTTAATATTCAGTGTTTCTCTCCCCCTTCCCCCCCAAAACCAGGCATAGGGTTAATCTTTAGATAAAATAGCGGTTGTGAGTCCTTGGGCCATCTGGTTCCCATTAATTTGGGTCCAGATGTCCAGCTTCCTGGGTAGCAGGGACCTTTAGAAAGGGCTTCACTTGGTCTTGGTGACTTGATAACACCATAATATCTCCAATCCCACTTCCCCTTGCTGTCTATATGCAAATGAGGGTGTCTGTTCCTAATTTTTCACTTTTTGAAAGTATTAGACCAGTCATGATAAGAGATGTAGTGGGCACATTTTTATACCTTTTCTGGGATTTATGACCCAACCACCTTATCCATTTTTTTTTAAATCTCATTCTCAGGGCTGAGGTTCAAGGTACTTTGTTGGTAACTGTGACTCCACACTTCTGCTGCTGTGCGACCGACTGTGTATGGGAAGATGTTTGTCCCGGATGAGTTAACAGGATACGACTCCTGGTAAAAGGAGATTAGAGGCCAGAAACAATAAAGACATTTTCTGCCACAAGAGTAAATGTTCAGTGTTCTTTTGCAAAGAAGGAGGAAAGGAGTATGAGCACAGTAAGAGCAGGAGATGAAGAGGGGACAGATAGATAGGCACAGGCAGAGCACGTGAGACGGAAGAGCATTTTGTTTCCACATTGCTGAGGCTTTGGGTCACGAATTCCCCTCCCTCCTGTCCTCTCATGTCCCCTCCTATCTTCTCTCCTTTCTGCTCCTCTTTTCTTTTTTCTCCATAGTAGAGATTGAATTTAGAACCTTTGCTTTAGAATTTAGAATCTTCAGCTTTTGTCCATTTTCTGTGTCTTTTTAGAATTTAGTTTTATTTTGGGACAGGGTCTCACTAAGTTGGCTAACCTGGGTTTCGGCTTGTTAGACTCCTGCCTCAGTCTCCCAGGGTTCTGGGACTAGGCTAATGCGCCTGTCTCCCCTATGTCTTGGGATGATGCTCTTTCACTTCTCACCCTTCTTCCACCAAACTATCTTAAGTTGCTGTGTGTTACTCTGATGTAGAATCCTAACCACACAGACAGGGAAAGTCTCCCCATGCAGAACTTACTGTTAAGCTGCAGCCAGTTCAGCTTTCAGTAGAGTCGTGAAGTTTTATGTGAATTGGATTGTCACCTAGCCAGTTTGTTTATATTCTGCACATTCTGATATGCTCAAAGTATTTCACTTTGATACAAATAATAATACCTCTAAGCATCTTTCATCTTTTTTCTTTAAAATTTATCACAAGTAGGAAGCAACAGTGGGAGAAGGAATAGGAAAGAGAAGTGAGGAGGATGGCAGGGAAGAGGGGAGGAAGGAAGAGAGATGCAAATGGATTCAGGGTTTACAGACCTCTGTTCAAAATCTGCTCTGGCGTGTCCTAGCTCTAAAATCCAAATTATTTAGATGCTATGAGCCTTTGTTTTCTTATTAAACATCAGAGATAAAAATCCTATTAAATGGATTTTTTTTAATGATGATTTTATGAAATGAGTGCTACAGTACCTAGTAGATACTCGGTAGATATTACCCCCTCGCAGTCAGTGAGGTCATCTCTCTTCTTTCTTTGTACTGAAACAGTGGCTCCTGAGTGTGTTGTCAGAACAGTCTCATGCAGACCACTGGGTCTGAAAGCCTGCGACCAAGGCTAAGGAGAGTAGCTTTCCTGCACTACCTGTGAAAACACAGCCTGTGAGAATTTCCACTGTTCCTTCAGGTGAAGAGCTGGACAACTGGTACCTCGAAGCCTCTCTACATGTTGGGACACTATGATTCTAATCCTCATTTTTAGATTATGATTTTATGTATATTGAAAACATCATAGGGCTGGGCAGACAGCTCAACAATGGGTAAGAACCTGCCTGGCAAGGGCAAGGTCCTGATTTTTTTTTCTTTTTCTTTTTCTTTTTTTGTACTTTAGGGAAGGGTCTACAGGGTGTTCAGGGTCTCACTACTAGATCAGACTCATATTGATCAGCCTGTTTACAGCTTCCCAAGAACTGGGGTTACAGGCACGCGCCACCATGCTCAGTCTCCATTGCTGTCTCAGTGCACCCTGGGGGCAGGGCTGGCATGGCAGGCCTGGGGGTGGGGTGGGGGATTGAACCCAGACCCCTCACCTAGTTGCAGGTGCTTTAATCTGCTGAGCTATTTGGCCAGCCCTTAGGTCCTGATTTCGATCCTCAGTAAAAACAACAACGACCACCAAAATTATAGTACTCTGATTCTATAAACATTGAAGAGTACTTTCCTGTGGCATGTTTTCTGTGGCAGGGAAATGACCACCTTCTAAAGAAGTTCTTTGAAGAGACCTTCTTAGTATCTATGCATCAGACAAAACCCACCTCACTCCAAGTCCTCTGCACTGATTCTTGTTTCCACTGCTCAGTGGCCGGGTCTCAGGATGACTTGGTCACAGAAGCTGTCTTTTTATCTATCAGGGTACACTAACCTGCTTTTATCATCTTCCCATTCCTTGTCCTCTTCCACCACCCCCCACGTTAGCACTTGAGCTATGCCACGCCCCAAAGCTTGGAACTTTGAGAAGCAATGAAGGAGAGCTGTCGTGGAGTTCCTGACTGGCCGTGGAGCTCGGGAAATGTGTGCTTGTTGTAGAAATGAGTCTTTTCTGATGATAGTTCACTGTTAATGCTTCTGTGAACAGGGATTTGGGGTTTATATTTTCTCTATGTAGTCATCTCCTTCTCTCCAGTTTTACCTTTTTCTTTCCTCAAGCTATTCTCAATCCCTAGCTTTACTTCATTCATTTACCAATGGATTTATTCCTTGAATGTTTATTGACTACCATATTCCAACCTCTGTTAATTTCTGACTCACGTCTTTATTTGTTTTTTTATGTATTTAGTACAGGGTCTACAGGGTCTCACTACACAGATCAGACTTGTAGTGATCCTCCTGTTTTCAGCCTCCAAGCGCCGGGATTACAGGCATGCTTCACCATGCCCAGTCTCAGTTGCCATCTCAGCACACCCCATGGGTGGGGTCCACACAAACCCTGGTCACTGTGTCTGCCTAAGCAGGTGCTTTAGTCGGCTAAGCTATCTGATTGGACCTCTGACTCATATCTTAAAGTTCAAAAAGTATCTGAACTTTGCCCTCAAGGTACTCACAGTCCAGCAGAAGAGTTAAAATACACACATGACCAAAGCCCAAGGCAGAAAGAATTAACATGTTTTTAAACCAAACCTCGATATTTTTCAAACCACAAATTGTAGCCCATTAGCAGGTTACAGGATCAATTAGCCAATCATATCCAACTTTTTTTAAACTAAAAGGAATTTTATAAAATACTGAAGGGGGTCACATAGGATAGATAGGTTGTTATTGGATGCCAATTTTATTTAAATTCTGTGTGCCTTTTGATATGAGGCATGGGTACAGGAACATGATGTAATATGAAATATTGTTACTATGCATGACATTCAAAAATTGAGCTTAGGAAGGCTAAAATTTTAGCTTATGATAGAAGCCTAGAATGCTGTTCAAACTCAGTATGCATGTGAGTCCCCTGGGAATTCAACATAAAGACTGTCACTTATGGGTGTATGACAGGGCTGGGAGCTCTGTATCTCAGGAGCTCTGGAGACCGTGCTCTTGCTGCACGCTCACACAAGAGTGCTAGAAGGAGTGTGTTTCCCACAAAAGAACCCAAGGAAGCCCCTCCAGCCATTCATTTGACTTCCAGTGTTACCAAGGAATACAAAGGAGGGAGACTTTCCCTCCTTTTTCAGGTTTTGCTTCAGGTTGGCTGACAGAAATCCTAACCTATGCTCCTCCAAGGGCTACTGCTGTCCAGATCACCCCGTTGTGCTGCAGGTTGACACTGAGAGCCCAGGTAATCACTGTGAAATGCTCTTCTGTTGTTTTTGGGCACTGGGCCCAGAGCCCCATCACACCCCAGATATATCTGCCTTTCCATCCAGCGTCCCCTGCAACCAACTGGAAAGCAAGTCCTACACAGTAGGACTTCAAGAACAGAAGCAGGAAGCGCTTCATTCATTGCAGCTTCCCCTCCCCCTCCTCATCATCACATCACATCAGGCTTCTGTCACCTGGCACCCAGCTGCTTGAGCCTCCCAATGGTTTTTTCAGCCTGCAACTCCTTTCTCTTCCTGCCTCGAATGCATCCTGCACAGTGACACACTGATTATTCTCAAACGAAGCTTCTTTTCTTTCTTTCAGCCTTCCCTTCAGCGGCTCCCGGTTCCTACACAAGCTCTCTGCTCCTAGCCAACTTGCCTGCTGCTCCCGCTGTCTTGTGCTTCCTTTCTTTTGCCCTCCCTGTTCCTCTCTTATGATTGCATTTTCCTAATTATTTGAATCCTGCTTACGCCTTAGGATTTTGCTTAAATTCTATTTCTCCCATGAAGCCTTTTTGGAAACCCCATGGGGAATCCCCCCTTTTGCTGCTGTCTTATTACACGAATGCTGAGCATCATTTGTGCGCTGTGTGTGTGGAAGGAAAACCCAGGAGTGTCAGGGGAGCCAACAAGGTCCCCAGCGTCACGTGGGGACCAGGGCAAGCCATTGGCCTTTTCTGAGCCTCAGTGTTCCCACTGAGGTAAAGAGAAAATTAGAGACCATGGTCTCTTAGGCAACTTCACTTGATGCCCCCACTTGTGCGTTTGGCTAATCTTGTAACTTTCCTTAGAGATCTTAGTTTGGTGCTCATTGTTAACACGTTTCTTGTTAGCACTGAACTATCACCTGGCTGTTGAATTGCTGTTAATTTTTAAATTCTCACACACATTTGTCTCTCACTCCTATGGGGAAGGAAGGAACCTGGCTCTGCGTGGGAGGCAGTGAGGCCCAGGGAGGGCCTGCTTTCAGGAGTGCAGGACTCAACGCTGCTGTCTACTAGAGGTCTCCCTCGGCCAGAACACAGGCCGGTGTCCCCTCCGAGTGGGTGCTCGCCGGTTATCTGTCGATTGATTGGATCTCGTGAGGCCCATTTTGCAAGACAACTCCCTTCCCTGGAAAGGAGGAGGCCCTTGAGTCGGCTGGGTAACGGGAAAAGTGCTTACTCTGGGAGGAAGGCGGGGCGAGCCGGAAAAAGCTCTCGCTAAGAACCCGCAGACTCCCCCAGTGTTTCCGAACCCCGTTCTCTCCGGAGCCGGGAGGGTTGGGGGAATTGGAACCCGTCCCTTTGCGGGAGACCCGTAGCTGCCTCGGGCCGCGGCTCCCGACCGATCTTACCGAGCGAGGTCCCCTCCCCCGCGCCCCGTTTTGCTCCGGCTCCCTGCGCTCTGCAAAGGGAGGGTAGTGCCGGGGCACCGCGCACACCAGCTTTCCCGGAGCTGCGGGCGGGCGAGGAGCCCCGTGCCCTCTGGAGTCTTTCGGCAGCTTCCCGGCTCCCCCGCTACCCCCACCGCGCGGCTCCCGCCCCCCCCGCACCCTACCCGGGCCTCCCTCCCTACCGCCCGCCCGCCC